CGTATAGTAGTAGTAATAGCAGTAGTGTAGTAGTTCAACTGTTTTGTCTTGTGTAAAGGTTAACTCAATACTCTTTCCTTTTATCATCTTTACTTTTCTTCAAGTCCCTGAGACAATGATACGACAGCAGGCCTTTTTGGCACTGGATAAATAACCGTCTGCTACTGAGACCTGAGTGACAGACCGGTGATGGTGGTGTCTCTCCTGGAGAGGTAAACCTGCTGCCCATCATGACTTTCGCTGAAGCGCTGTAGGAAAGTCCTCTCTGTTCCTCTTCAGAAGATTTTCTCTTTGGCCTTTGTCACAAAATCCATGATCAGACTGAAACACAGAGGACAAAAAACCCACAATCAGACTGAAACACAGAGGAACCAAAACCACAATCAGAACTGAAACACAGAGGAGAACAAAACCCACAATCAGACCTGAAAAACACAGAGGAAACCAAACCCATGACAGACTGTAAACACAGAGGAACAAAACCACAATCTGTCTGAAACACAGAGGAAACCAAACCCTTGATAGACTGAAACACAGAGGAACAAACCCATGATCAGACTGAAAACAGAGGCGAACCAAACCATGATCAGACTGAAACACAGAGGAACCAAACCCATGATCAGACTGAAACTCAGAGGAACTAACCCATGATCAGTCTGAAAACACAGAGGAACAAAACCATGATCAGACTGAAAACACAGAGGAACCGTAACCATGATCAGACTGTAACACATAGGAACCAACCATGATCAGAATGAAACACAGAGGAACCAAACCCATGATCAGATGAAACACAGAGGAACTCAACCCTGATGATCAGACTGAAACAAGAGGATCCAAACCCCTATGATCAGACTGAAACAACACAGAGGAACAAAACCTTGATCAGGAATGAAACACAGAGGAAACCCAAACCCTGTTCAGACTGAAACACAGAGGAACCAAACCCGATGATCAGACTGAAACCACAGAGGAACAAAAACCCATGATCAGACTGAAACACAGGAGGAACAAACCCATGATCAGACTGAAACACAGAGAGAACAAAACCCATGATCAGCTGAACACAGAGGGCAAAAGTTTTGTCTCAAAAGGAGCGTATTCATACACAGAATGGAAGAAGACCAAAAAATCAGTTGTATGTGATTCAGCTCTGGCTAAGTTTCAGACTCGGGCGAGCACTCAGAGACCACTTTAGTGATCAGGGCTAAATCATTTGAGCATGGGAAAAAAACAATTTTTAGCAATGAATAGTACGAGGATTGGGTTCATACGAGCTTTGTTTATAATGTAAACATTATTTTCATATGCGTCTATATCTTTTTATGCTGTTTATGTTTTATCATCACTGGACCATCAATTATCTTTTTTTAATTAGGATTATGCGCATGAAGGTCATGGTTAACTCGCGATAATCGAAACTTTTTTATCTATATCTTTATGTCCGTCGAATATCATTTGAATCATCTTATAAACGCTCACAAATTGTTTTTTGTTTTTTTTTAAGTGTTGGATTCACACTCACACTTAATGCAAAAGTCACTACAATTCTAGCTGTCATTAACACAGAGTTTAACGTCTTTAACCATTGAAGCCAGTAAAGCATACCCTCATTTTCTTCAGAGCTGGGAGCGACTGTGTGATTTTCACCTTCGAGGCCCGGGAAAGCGGGACACGTCTGTTTATCTTTTTTGACCAATTCTCTTCATTGGTAAATTTCTCTTGACCAATGAAATGCATCAGGGGTAAACCAGGGATGAAAATTTTCTGTGGATCGCGTAATTCAACTTTTTCTTGCAATGGTCATTTCTGTGTAATGTCGTGACCGCGGATGTTTGCTGTACATACTCGATCGGGATTCAAGTCCTCCGTTTTGACTAGGGAGAAAACTGTGGCCGCTTTGACAACAGCCTCAGCGAACGCGCAGCCATAACGTGGTTATGTACCGATTGCGGACAGAAACCATCCAGCTTGTTGCTGTGCGGGTATTGTTTGGTCTTCCCGTCTCTCCCGGTGTCTCATCCCAAAGGACAACCTAAACTACAGAATTAGCTCAGGTACCTACATTTTTGTTTGCATTGACAATTGCATGCACAAAAGTGAAATGTTGTGAATCAAATCCAAACAGAACAAACCACAACTGTTGTGTTTTTTTAAAATTTTGCTTACTTGAAAAACAAAAAACAAAAAAAGAGTCCTGTGGAGTAATTATTTGACTTTTTTTAGGGCTGAGAGAGGAGAGGCTTTTTAAATATTTTTTTCCACATTAGTTTTTGACTTATTGTATTGAGAAACATGTGTTGTTCTCAAATTGTTTTTGGTTATTTTTTATCTGTCCTTTGTAGAAGTTGTTTTATTTTTGTATTATTCTATGCAAGGTTGTATAATAATACGCTGCATTCTTATTTAAAGCCACAATGTCAGCTCTCAAATTCTTTTGGAATTATGTTTTCTTTATGTTTCGGAGATTAATCATTCTAGTAGACATGAATTTCAGGAAAACTTCAGGTTTTGGAGGGTGGTTCTCAAGTCGGCCGTTAGGTTTTATCAGGTATGTTTTCCAGGTTATTGTGTGTCGGTTTCAGGCTTTATGCGGGTTATTTGGTAAAAATCCCCTTCAACTGCCCTTTCTAGGGAATCAATTCAGGGTGATACAAATTGAAATAGCAAAAGTGGACGGACAGGTTGGTTGCTTAGTTACGCTATCCCATCAGTTCTTGGCAAGAGCGTGGCGGAAGGAGGGAGAGTTGGCATTAGCGTGTGTTGGCCATCAAGTGGTAAGTCCAAAGTGGATGTGCTTCGGCGATAACTGGTTCACACCTGCAATACACACGATATCTTAAGTCTTGTCATATAGCAAACTTTTTGCAATCTAGGCTTTCCCTTCAGGAAGCTTGTCCATTTCGGCCATTTCACGCTGAGACAAAACCAGTCTCTTTTCACAGTAGTGTTTTTAACGATTACTAACAGGAAACTACAACTGAAGTTGGTCATCACATTTCAATAGTGTGATTTTTTAATAATTACAGCGTTCATATTGATTTGCGTAAGCGTAAAATATTTACATCTGGATATATTCATATTAGTGTTGTCCCCCCCGCCCCACAATCCCCTACGTCTAGTGTTTGGTTTGTGTTTTGCTTTGTTAGCCTGTACCTGCTCGGTCGCTGTGAAAGAAAGGTTTGTCTAGCAACTGGTTTCAAAAAGTTGCCATAACTGAAGTTATCGGTCGTTGAACTAAAAGTTATCTGAGTGTTATTGTGGGGTGTGAGCTAGCGTTAGTTTTATCACCGTTAGCACATCCACTATCAATGGTGATGCAAACTCTCCTCGCCACTCTCTTGTCAAGACATATGGATTGCGCAACTGAGAACAAAGTGTTAGGCACTTTGTTACTTTATTGTCCTATCACCCTGTTTTGATTCCTTAGAAAGGGTAGTTGAAGGGGATTTTTACCAATTATCGCATAAAGGCCGACACACCTGGTAAAACATACCTGTAAAACCTACGGCCGATTGAGAACCCACCCTCCAAAACTGAAGTTTTCCTGAACTGAAATTCAATGTCTACAGAATGATTATCTCGAAACATAGAAAATTAATCAAACGAATTTGAGAAGCTGTCATTTGTTGCTTTTAAATAAGATGTGCAGCGTTATTATTTAACCTTCAGTAGAATAATACAAAAATAAACAACTTTACAAAGGACAGATAATAAACATATCCAAAACAATGTCGGAGAACAACACATGTTTCTCAATACAATAAGTCAAAAACTATGTGTGAAAAAAATATTTAAAAAGTCCTCTCTCAGCCCTAAAAGTCAAATAATACTCACAGGACTCTTTTTTTGTTTTTTGTTTTTTCAAGTAAGCAAATTTTAAAAAACACAATGTTGGGGGTTTGTCTGTTGGATTTGGTCACACACATTTCACTTTGGGACTTTGCATTGTCAATGCAAACAAAAATGTAGTACCTGAGCTTTAATTCTGTGAGTTTTGGTTGTCCTTTGGGAGGAGGACACCGGGTGTGACGGGGGGGGGAAGACAAAACAATACCCGCCAATGCAAAAAGCTGGGGATGGTTCCTGTCCGCAATCGCGGTCAGACCCCGTTATGGCCGCGCGTCGCTGAGCTGTTGTCATAAGCGGCCACAGTTTCTTCCCGGATGTCAGAACGGAGGGACTTGAATCCCGTTTCGAGTATGTACAGCAAACATCCCGCGGTCACACATTTCCCAGAAATGACATTTTCAAGAAAAAAGTTGGAATTCGCGATTACACAGAAAATTTTTCATCCCTGGTTTACCCTGAATGCATTTCATTGGTCAAGGAGAATTTACCATGAAGAGAATTGTTCAAAAAAGAATAAACAGACGTGTCCGCTTTCCCGGCTCGAAGGTAGAAATGCACAACAGCGCTCCCAGCTCTGAAGTAGATATGAGGGAATGCTTTCCTGCTTCAATGGTTATTGACGTTTAAAGTCGGTGTTTATGACAGCATTGATTTGTTTGACATTTAGCATTATGTGTGAGTGTGAATCTAACACTTAAAAAAAACAAAAAACAATTTGTGAGTTTATAAGATGATTTAAAATGATGATTTTCGTCGGACATAATGAATAGAGTTAAAAATGTTGCGATTAATCGCGAGTTAACCATGACCTTATGCGCATATTCCTAATTTAAAAAAGATAATTGTTGGTCTAGTGATGATTAAGGACATACAGATAAAAACGATATAGACGCATATGAAAATATTGTTTACCATTATAGGAAAAAAGCTCGTATGATCCCAATCCTCTACTTCATTGCTATAATTTGTTCTTTTTCCCAGTGCTCAAATGATTTAGCCTCTGGTCACTAAAGTGGTCTCTGAGTCTGCGCCCGAGTCTGAATCGTAGCAGGCCTAATCACATACTACTGATTTTGGCTTCTTCCATTCTTGTGTATGAATACCTCCTTTTGAGACAAAACTTTTGTCCTCTGTGTTTCAGTCTGTTCATGGGTTTTGTTCCTCTGGTTTCAGGTCAGATCATGGGTTTGGTTCCTCTGTGTTTCAGTCTGATACATGGGGTTTGTTCCTCTGTTGTTTCAGTCTGATCATGGGTTTGTTCCTCTGTGTTTCAGTCTGTTCATGGGTATGGTTCCTCTGTGTTTCAGTCGGATCATGGGTTTTGTTCCTCTGTGTTTCAGGTCGGATCATGGGTTTGGTTCCTCTGTGTGTCAGTTCCGATCATGGGTTTTGGTTCCTCTGTGTTTCAGTCTGATCATGGGGTTTTGGTTCCTCTGTGTTTCTGTCTGATCATGGGTTTGGTTTCCCTCTGTGTTACAGTCTGATCATGGGTTTTGCGTTCCTCTGTTGGTTTTCTGTCTGATCATGGGTTGTGTTCCTCTGTGTTTCAGTGGTTCATGGGTTTGGTTCCTCTGTGTTTCTGTCTGTTCAATGGTTTGGTTCCTCTGGTTGTTTCAGTCTGTTCATGGGTTGGGTTCTCTGTGTTTCAGTCCTGATCATTGGTTTGGTTTCCTCTGTGTTTCAGTCTGATCATGGGGTTTGGTTTCCTTCTGTGTTCTCATCTGATTGTGGGTTTTGTTCCTCTGGTTTCTGTTTACTGATCTGGGGGTTGGTTCCTCGGGGTTGCAGTATGTTGTGGTGGGTTTTGTTCGCTCCTCTGTGTTTTTCAGTCTGTTGTTGGGTTTTGTTCTTGTGTTCTGTCTGATTGTGGGTTTTGTTCCTCTGAGTTTAGTCTGCTCATGGGTTTTGTGACAAAGGCCAAAGAAGAAGAATATTCTGATGTGGGGAAGCAGAGGGGACGATTCCTACCTGCGCTTCAGCGAAAAGTCTGATGGGAGGAGTTCCCTTGATCCTGGGAGAGACACCACCATCACGGTCTGGTTCACTCAGGTCTCAAGTAGCAAGAAGTGGTTATTTATCTGTGCCAAAAGGCCTGCTGTCTCGGTATCACTTGTCTCAGGGGACTTGAGAAAAAGTAAAGATGATTAAAAGGAAGGGGAGTATTGAGTTTACTTTACAAAAAGACAAAACTTTTAACTACTACAACTACTTGCTAATTACTACTACTATAACTGCTACCTACTACTACTATTACTGATATTACTGCCCACAAAAAAGCACACAGGCGTGAAGGTGCAGAAGGTAGAAGTTGTGAGTGAGGGACACTATATTTACTTTTTAAAAGTTAAAAGTTAAAACATTTGTCAGGTAGAATAAGGCTAAATACTTTAAAAAGTAAATAAGTCGTTTCTTAAATAAAGGCAGTGGAAAAGTATTATTCTAGATACTTCTAGAACTATGACTGCAATATCCGCTCTTGTGTCGCAGGTGAGTCCAGAGATTAAAAACCGTGTCGACCTTTCACCAAAGCGATCTGGATCAATTTCCTTTTCATGAATTAATACGGATCTTCAGCTGATGGAGCAGGACAACGTTCCGCGAGAAATCCTGCTTTATCTTTATCCAAAACATTCCAAAAGACGAGGGCCTTCAGGGAAGGTACTACAGTGACAAGATGCGGATGGTGAGATGATACGGCATCAGGTTAGGGCGGTGGTGCTCAGCTAAATGTGGGCCTAGGGGTGTGTGACCGCGGCAACTGGGCTTCTGCTCTGTTGCTGCAACTGGACTCGCCTGCGGTGGCCGACTGAGCTCCTCCGCGCTCAACGTATACATGTTTGTATATATTGTGTTCTATTTCAGAACAATGTCCTTACATCGGAATACCTCAGAACAAAACTCATGTTCGCCACACAGAGTAAGTTCTCCACATGCAGAGAAGAGACACCATGTGGATCCTGAGGTCCCTGAGGAGGCTCTGGGTCTTAACGGGGCTCCTGGGCTCACCAAGGAGGCTTATAGGAGGCACATGAGGATTGCTCCAGGCTCAGAGTGTGTGTTGACTGTGTTTGTTTGTGTGGGTGTGTGTGTGGTGGTGTGGGTGTGGTTTTGTTAGGAACTCGTCAGAGGCTTCTGTGCTTTGTGCAGAGGTACAGGTGTGTGGCTCCCTCTGCTGCGGTCACTTAGTTTACTACTGCAGGGACGGTCAAAACACTGTGTTGATAAACTGTTGTAAACAGTATTAATTGTGGTGTGTTCTTCATCATGTTAAAGGTTTTTTTTTTACAACAGGACTTCCAAAGTCTCCAGAGCCGTTCTTTTTGACTCTCTCCCTCAATAAACCTGGCAATTCAGGAAAAATCCCAAAAGAGTTTTTGTTTTCCACCAGATTTGTTAATAAAGTGTTCCACAAACTTTGTACCTTTACTCAACTTTTTAATAAGTGCTATGCTGCAGTCCAGGTCCTCCGGACCAGCCCCTGTTGCGGTTGCATATGATCAAAACGGCTACATTCGTTCTTTACTTTTAGAATTAACTCTAGTTCTCGCTTTATAATGCCAGAATTACAACGTTAAAAAATATATTTTCATAAAAAATAATGACAGAAAAAACTACAGCTAAAAACAGAGAAAAGTCCAAGTATGAGGAGCAAGAGTCTTACAGACGCTGAGTCTCTTACGCTTAAATCTAAATCTCTGGGATGTCCTTGTGTTATATAACCATATTAATGGATGATCAATAGTGAAGTCTCATCTGTTAAAAAGTTAAAGAAGACCCCTGAGTTTGACGCCTCTGTGGTTTGACCTTCTGCATGACCCTGTCCTTGTCCTAGTGACAATCACAGAACCTTCTTTAACCTGATCTTTCAAATCTTTGATTTATAGGGTTCTGTCTTACACAGAAGATCACTTTCTTTCACTTATCTCAGTGTGCCCCAGGGCAGCTGTGGCTACAGTAGTATTTTATGACCTTTGTGTTTGGAGTGACGCCTTTTTGAGAGAGTGGCTATGTAAAACCCCTGCATTATTATTATTATTATTAGTTGTTGTATTATAAAGATCTCCGGTGGGAGATTTCAGAGTTATTATATTAAAGAAAGTCAGGTACCCCAGTTTTAATTCCCTTTATTATCCAATATCACATGTCCTATGGCATGATCCTATTGCATGACACTAGTTTCATTTACTTTCTGATGTTTATATAATTCTTAGATGTAAAAGAGGCTTTTGTCCATTTTCAATAGTTTCCATACCCAAGGTGTTATTCCTGATTCCGCATCAAACAATTTATATAATTGAGGAGCAGAGAGTGACTAAACACAACAATAGATATAGAACAACAGAGAGAGTCGCGAGGAGAGAGGAGCAGAGAGAGTAACACAGAGAGGGAGCAGAGAGAGAAGACCGCGAGGAGCAGAGGAGAGACGGAGACGCGAGGTGAGAGAGACGCGAGGAGGGAGGAGCAGAGAGAGGACAGAGAGGCAGCAGTGAGACGGGAGAAGCGTGGAGCAGAGAGAGACGGAGACGCGAGGAGTGAGTGACGCGAGGAACATAAACAATAATTTAAACAAGTTGCTGAAACTCTTGAGTCAGTGTTTGAATCAGTGTTTTTCGGAAAAGCACAATTTGCCGGTTTCTGTCAATGTTCAACATAAAACACAGATTAACAAACTCCTCCCCCCGCAGCCGGATAACCTCGTCAAGTCCAGTGGTGGTCTCCAGTCTATATTAATTCTTTCTTTGTTTGAAAGTCCAATTGAGAAAAAAAATCTTCATTCATTATCATCCATTTATCCAAGCTAAAGAAATAGCATTTTGGCTGTTTTGTTTGTTAGCAACTCTGGTATGGAACTTTTATGCTCACTATACCCTAGCGGTGAGGCAAGAATACCGTCTGCCTCACGCCAGCTTTTTTTTGTGTGTTCATCTACGATCAAAAAGACTTAACAAATATACATTGTACACACATACGTGCAATACACTACTAAACACTAAGAGGAGTTTAATAAAATGTTTTTAAGCAGGTATTTGAAACCATACGGTGATATATTCAACTGCACGAGCTGAGTGCACTCAGACAAACACAACACACTGTGAGGGAGCGGTCCAGGGTGAGGCCGCAGGAGGCTGCCATCACCTCGTCTCTTTGAATAGGAAATACGGGTTTTCGGCGATTTTGATCTTCAGAATGATCAAAATGAAGCCCCCATTTTCTTTTTTTTTTTTAATGGGAACCGTGCCGAATATACATTAAAAGCATAGGACAGTGGATATAAATTATTATATTAAACTAAAATAATTATTAGTTTCCAATAATGGCAGGTGAGGCTCTGCTCCCTGCCTCCCCTGAATGCACGTCCCTGAGAACAGTACTTATCTTTTGAGGACTTAACAAGATGTCAACTTCACCAACACAAATTGGCGAATCAAAACATTCAAACACAGGAAATTATATTATAACTAAACGCATGGGACTTTGGTCCTTGATGGAAGTGACCATGCCCTTAGAGCCATCTTGCATTAGCGAGCAACTCTTAAGACTGGTGGGAGTAAGTGAGAAACCTCTGGTGAGGCCCACATTGAGGTCGGATCTGCTCGAAAGGGACGACGGGTCTGTAGATCCAGGATTGAGGCCTAGAGAATTATAGATTCTAAATTGGATTGATGATACTGTCTATTGAGATGGACCAAAGTTACTCTTCTACACGTTTCTTGTTACTGGTCTTGAATTGATGGATCCTAGTTTGGGTGAAGTTTTGGTTTTCTTGAATGTGGTTTTATACTGAACTAACAATTAACATTATTTCTGTGTGCTTCACACAGCTGGTCTGCTTGGTCTCTCTCATCTTTCTGCTCTCTCTGGGTCATTCTGGTTCTCTCTTGGTCTCATTCAATGGTTGTGTTAGTAACTGCACTGTTTACATCTGTCTCTTTCAGAACAAACCCACCCATTGATTTCGTCTGCTCTCACGGTTGGAGAAGTTCCTCTCCGGACCCTCTGCTGTCGCCCACCTGATGTGCAGGGTGGCTGACTGTTCTGAGGTCCTTCTGTTGCCCTGGTGGTGCAGGTGTTGAGGACTGTGCTGAGGTCGTTCTGCCCTGCCTTTGGTGGTGCGTGCACCTGTGCTGAGGTTCTTCTGTCGCCTCCTGGTGGTGCAAGGGCAGACTGTGCGGAGGTCTCCAGCTTCTCGGTTCTTTGACTCGGTTCTGTTGAACTTAATGACTGGTGTCGTCGACTTCGACCTCCCTGAGCTCTCACACTTTGCGAGTGTCCTCCAGTAGTTTAACAGAGTCCATATTGATTTTTATTTAGTTTGTTCAAATTTGTATTTCTATTTTATTTATGTTCAGTTAAAGAAAGCTATACCAGATTTATTTTCTAATGAGTTCATAAAAATGCGTTTTCTACTAAATACAAGTTGATATTAAAATCTGTAATTTAATTGAAAAACGTGAGCTCACTGATTATCTTGTCGTATGTTTTCAGGCGTAAAAAAGATGCTGAGTAGAGAACTTTGCGTGACGCCGCTCTCCTCCACTAACAGAAGGGACGAGCAGCGCCTGTTACAAAAGAGGCTGCGCTCTCTTGCCTCTACAGCGATGCTTAACACTGTAGCATGTTAGCATAATTGGCTATAACTCCTCTTGCTGTAACT